TTGTGTGTGTTGTGTGTGTGTTGTGTGTTGTGTGTTGTGTGTTGTGTGTGTGTGGCGTGTGTGTGTGTGTTGTGTGTGTTGTGTGTGTGTTGTGTGTGTTGTGTGTGTGCGTGTGTGTGCGTGTGTGTGCGTGTGTGCGCGTGTGTGCGTGTGTGCGTGTGTGTGTGTGTATGTGTGTATGTGTGTGTATGTTTGTGTGTGTGTTTGTGTGTGTGTGGGTGTGTGTGTGTGTTGGGGGGGCTCTGACCTGGACACGTGTGTGACCGAATCGTTGAGCCTGTCTTGTCGTATGGTCCTCTTGGGGCCTTTGGGGCTCTCTTGGAGCTCTTTTGGGGTTCGCTCGGGGCTACTTGGGCAACGTCGGCGTACTTTTGAAGGGGGTCTTGCGGTCGCATGGGGAGTCACGGGACCATATTAGAGCCCGTTTGGGTCCCATTGTTTTCGAATACGTGTTTTGCCACTCTGTTCGCACGACCTTTTTCAGCACCATGCATCACATCAGCCAGCAACAGTTGGCAGCAGTTAGAAGCAGCACACGCACCACGCCGCAGTCAGCAGCAAGTTATTGCACCAAGCCGCAGCAAGCATCAGCAAGTAGCAGCGAGTTGCAGCGCGCAGCAGAAAGCAGCAGCACCAAGCCACAGCAAAGAGCAGCACGCAGCTACAAGTAAATACTAGTCAGTAGCCGCGAGAAGCAGAAACGTGCAGCATGCAGCAGCAGCAGCAGCAGCAGCAGCAGCAGGTAACAAGCAGCAGCAAGCGGCAGCGAGCGGACGAGCCAGCAGTGAAGAAATTATACATGAATCTATGAAATTGTACATGCCGAAGCCCCGGATGTCGGAGTCAACGACATAGAAGTGGCCAAAGGCCGGCCACCCCTCCTGCAGTGAATCACTGGCCGGCTCTTCTTGGAAGAGCGTGCCACATCCTGCCGTGAAACACTGGCCAGCTCTTCTTGGAAGAGCGCGCCACCTGGGGCCGGGGCCCCCCTTCCGCCTCCGCCACCTCCTCCTCGCCTTCGCCCTCCTCGCCCTCCTCAACCTCCGCCTTGCTTGTCGCCCTCCTCCTCCGCCAGCCTCCTCCCGGGTCTCGCCCGCTTCGCCCTCCTACGTCCCCTCCGTGCAAATCGCCCTCCTCCTCCTCCTCCTCCTCCTCTACCTCCTCTGTCTCCTCCTAGGACCTTTGCCCCCTTGGCAGTGGCCCTCCGGCCGGCCTCTTTTGCCTCCTCCTCCGGCCCGTCGGCCAGCCTTCCTCCGCCCTCCATCCTCAGCTTCTTCGGGCCGGTCTCTTTTCTGGCGCCCTCCTCCCTCGTCCTGCCTCGCGCCGGTCCGCCGGCCCTGTTTCCACCGCCCTCGCAGCGCCTCCGCCTCGCCCTCCGGGGGGGCCCGCTTTGGGCGGCCCGCGGCCGCCTCCTGCTTCCTCCTCCTCTTTCCTCGGTCCTCAGGGTTCCTCGGCGGCTCGTCTGGGCGCTCTCTCCTCCTGCAGCCCGTCTCCTCGTCCTCCGGCGCCGCCTCCTCTGCTCCTCTCTGCACCTCCTCCCCTCTCTCCTCCTGCGCCTCCTCCTTTCCAGTCTCCCTCCTCAGCCTCTCCTGCGCCGCGCGCCTAGCCTCGTTCTGCGGGTACCTGTCGTCCCAGACCTTCTGCACCACCTCCTCCATATAGCGCAGGATCCTGTCGTCCTCCTGGCGGTCCCGACCCCCGGGCCAGCCCCACCTCTGCTGGAGCACCTCCGGGGGCCGCGCTGGCGCCTCCTCTGGCCTCCTCCTGCAGGCCCACATGATGTGGTCCTGGTCCGGCACCGCCTCCTCGCACCCTGGCCAGATGCACCTGCAGCGGCCCGGTGCTCCTGCCTGCGCCGCCGCCATGGGCGAGAGAAACGCCCCGCACATCAAATGCAGGCGCCGCGTGGACGCCGTCGCCGCCTCCCTGGCCAGCCTCACCCTTGCCTCATCGTACCTTGTGGCTGCCATCCTCACGGCGTCCCTGCGCCGCATCTTCCTGAACTGTTCCCAGTTCCACCACCTCCAGCCCTCTCGAACCTCGTGCATGAGAGCGGCACGTACGTCTTCACCTCGGAGCTCCTCCTCAATGGTGGCGCGCCGCCCGAGGTCGACGTAGCCTCCGAACCCTGGATGGGACCACCGCCAGGGCGCTTCCTCCTCCCACCCTAAGCGACGCAACCACCCCCGGGCCGCGCCACACAGGGTCCCGCGCTGCCTGGTCCACTGGCGATACTGAGGGGCGTTGTGCCGCCTCAGCAACCGCCTCCTCAGCATGGACATCTGGCGGGCCCCAATGATCACGTCCGTCGCCAGCGTGCCCCCCTCCAGGATGGCTAGGATCGGCACCGCCCCCATCCTGCAGCCTCCTGCTGTTCGTCGAACAGCTGCCGAGATCTTCATGGCTACCCCAAGGGGCATTGTCCTCGCCATCCACCCGTAGGTGCACTTTGCCAAACCAAAAGCCCTGCAATACGTCTGCCTCAACCTTCTGCCCACCGGCAGGCCTTGCAGTCTGCGCAGCTCCTGCATCGCCGAGTCGACGCGCTTCGCCTCCTTCTCCTGGAGCGGACGCGGCCTTGCCCCCACCGTCACGACCCCGAGCGCCTCCATCACCGGCTTGACTGCTTCCCCAAGCCCGTGCCTCGCTGCCTCTCTCCGTAGCTCCTGCTCCTCCTTGTTGCCCCGCGCAACCAACTGCGTCTTTCCCGGGTTTTCCTGGAGGCCAGCAATCAGGCAACAGAATGCAGGCAACACAAGTTGCCAAGCAATCAGGCTAGCAATCACGCAAGGAAGGCAGAAGGTGAGAAGTCAAGACGGCAAACGATCTTCACCCGACGTGCGAAGGAGCTCCCGTGGACAATAGTCCACGCATCGGCCCTAACTAGTCTATACTATGATGCCGGGCTCATCGCATGCTGGAAGGACGCATTGCTTACGCGCCCGCCCGGCCCACGGCGGCGGCGCTTCTGCGGCCCCGCTCGTGGAGCGACGCCGTCCTGGCCCGGGAGAGCCCCGCGAGTGCCCCGGGAGGCCACCAGAGCGCTCCGATGCAGCGCAAGAGGGCTCCCAGACGGCCCGAGAAGGCCACCACCAGGTTCCACCAGGCTCCCAGATGGCCTCATGGGGCAACGAGGACGTAAAATGATTGATAGCCTCTAGGCTTTTTGATACTTCCTCTTTCGATCGCTTCTGCGGCCAAAAGACGCCCAACCCACCCCGAGAAGCGTCCCAAATCGTCCGGAGGGCGCCCAGGAGCCCCGAAGGGAGCCCCTACGACGGCCCCAGAGACCCTCAAGACGGCTCTGCGTACTCCCAAGACGGCCCCAAGGGAGACCTCACAGGGCCAAGTCTGGAGCGTTCCCCCCCCCTCCCGCCCTTCGCACGGCCAGCAGGCCCCCAAGGAGCCCTTCAGAGGCTCCACGACTGCCTCCGGGACACTCCCCAGAGGCTCCCAGAGAGCTTCCAGCAGTTCCCTCGAACCGGCTCTGACATGCGTCTATTCCGACAAGGCCCCAGTGCTTTAGAACAAGCGATACCGGACGGGCTCCTCGAAGGCCTCCAGCAGCTCCCACCAAACTGCTCCGATGATTAGGCTCCCAGACAGCACCAGCTCATAGAACAAAAACATACCCACACCTCTTGGACCACCTCGCGCGGGATGGGGTTACAGAAATTAGCTGTCAGATCCAGCTGCGGCCACCCAAGAACGCTGCTTCAGTGACCCCTCCCGCGCCGAGCGTGTCCCAAGAGGTGTGGGTGGGGTTTTGGTCAAATCGTCTTGGGCCTCCTCCTTCTCCTCCCCGTCGTCGCTTTCCTCCGTCACAAGCGCTCCTGTTATTTCGACTGGAGTTGCTGCCGCTGCTACTGTAGCCGCACTGCCGCTGTTGCTACTGCCCATGCCCCTGGAGCTGCTGCCGCTGATACTGCCAGCGCTGTTCTGGACGCCGTCAGAATCATCAAGCAAACAGCGCACCCTCGAGCGATGAGCAGCAGCAAACGCACTCTGAGCACCGGCATTCGTGGACGGTAGTCCACGAGTCAGCCTTAGTCAGCTACAACGCTGCGATCAGCGCGTGCGAGAAGGGAGAGCAGTGGCAGCGGGCCCTGGCATTGCTCAGCGAGATGAGAGAGGCGAAGTTGGATCCAAGCGTTTACAGCTACAGCGCTGGGATCAGCGCGTGCGAGAAGGGAGTCCAGTGGCAGCGGGCCCTGGCGCTGCTCAGCGAGATGAGGGAGGCGAAATTGGAGCCCAAAGTCATCAGCTACAGCGCTGGGATCAGCGCGTGTGAAAAAAGTATGCAGTGGCAGTGGGCGTTGGCGTTGCTCGGTGAGATGTGGGAGGCGACGTTGGAGCTCGACGTCTTCACCTACGGCGCTGGGATCAGTGCGTGCGAGAAAAACAAGCAGTGGCAGCGGGCTCTGGCGCTGCTCAGTGAGATGCGGATGACGAGTTTGGAGCCCAACGTTATTTGCTACAGCTCTGGGATCAGTGCGTGCGAGAAAGGCGCGCAGTGGCAGCGGGCTATCGCGCTACTCATCGAGATGAGGGGGGCGAAGCTCGAGCTCGACGTCACCGTCATCCCTACTATACCAGGCACATTCCGCGCGTCCTGGTCCGTTCGAGATTGCCCCAGTTCGTTCCTTGCTTGTCTTGTTGCAGCTGTCCTAATTATGTATTGTGTGTTGTAGTGCCGCCCGTAGCTTGCATTGACAGTGGTCATGTAGTTGGGTTTGATGTTACATGTGTTTGTATTTAGCGAGCGCTCACGCTGCACTGGTTTACTTGTCTCAGCTGGGGTGTCTCGCCTGCGTCTCGATTGTAGACGCGTCGCGGAACCCCACCAGCCCATCCAGAAGCGATGCCATGGCAGGTTGCCCTCGTCAGGGATGTGCAGTGGCACGCAGTGGAGTAACGGGCTGGGGAAGCCGTCCTACCCCAAGAGGGGGAGGATGAAGGGAGAATCGGAGGAGGAGGGGGAGGGGAAGGAGAATTGTAAAGAGGGAGGAGGAGGAGGAGGAGGAGGAGCAGGCGGAGGAGGGAGGAGAAGGAGGAGGGGGAGGAGCAGGCGAGCGAAGGAGGAGTAAGAGTAAGAGTAAGAGTAAGTGTTCGAGGACGGTGTCAAAATCTCTGAAGTGTTCAATGTGCTGGCCCCTCAAGTGATCTCTTAGCCTTCTCAGTCTTGCTATAGACGTTGGGCCTCAACGGTGCGTTACTTCTGATTAAAAAAACCAGCACGGGTGGGATCGCCTTCATTGGTCATTCTTTACCCACAGCCGACAGTTGCTGGTCACCAAACGCTCCGCACATTGCACAAAAATCAGACATCCACATCGTGGTTATACTGTATCCTGTGAGACCCGTGCACACAACACCAGCGATGGGCAACTCCGCCCCTGGGGAAGGGTCTTGAAGGAACCGTTCAAGGCCACGAGCGTACAACAGGGCAGAGCCCTCCAACGACGGGACTCCGAGATCGACGAAACGCTTCGACATTTGCAACACCGACGTTCCGAATCGTTCAGCGCATAGCTGCTGGACAGCACAAAGACGACCTCGGAGCACGGCGCAGGCCAGGCAGGCTGCAAAGGATGAGGAAGGGGAGCACCATTTCCTCTGCGACAGCTCTTCTCTTGCCGAGCCTGCCCCTCCTCGGTGGCCACCGCGTCGACAGGTGCGCGAAGCAGCCACATTCGCACCGCCAAGGCGCGATGCTTGACCTGGCCCACTCGACCTCGCTCTTGTTCAGGCAGTCGCGTCGTTGCGACCTCCTCGCCTGCCACGACATCGGCCATGGCGTTACCGCATACGAGCCAGCATTGAATGCCCGTGGGCACCATGTCAGCAGCAGACAGACGGGAATGTGCAAACATAGCCACAGCATGTCCAGCACACCGGTAGCGAACAACTTCCCCGACGCGTGCCCATAGCGTTGCGAGCGCACCGCGTGGGGAAGGATGCTTCTCTTCAGGCCATCCGTGATACACCATCCGGTTGCCAGTGATGCACACTGCATGGATGGTGTCCAACCTGGCGGCCGTCAGCAGCATGCGCAATTCACTTTTGGGAGCCGACTGGATGCGAGGCAGAGGGCCCAGCGCGACCTTCTGAGTACTCAAGTACTTGTCGCTGCACACCTGGACGAGACAGCAACGGCACGACGAAGCGGTGGACCCTTCGAATCCGCTCCTCCTGATGTGCCGCCAAGCATGACCACTGACTGCGATTGGGTGCCCTCGCCTAGAGCGCCGTCGCAGACACCCTTGAGCAACGCACCGCTCCCACACCATGCCGCTTGCAAAGCTGGAGCCGATATTGCTGTCCATTCCCGCTGTATCAAAACTCGCAGCCAGAAGGCTTGGTCTTCTCATGCTGTGCCATCGCCGCTGGAAGTAGATCGTCTGATCACCGATAAGCATCCGCATCAACAGACTTCTCACAACCTCAGCTGCAATGATACGGCGTCTCGATCTGGCATCGGCACCGAGGACGCTTCTGGCACACCACGATCTTCGCATAGGCTGCTCAACGCTCGCGTGGCCAAGATCCCCCAGCACATGTGGAGGCCATGGTCTAGGCAAGCCGCCGTCCTCTAGGAAGTGCCGCGAGGTAGCGGAGCAGCCAGTGCAAAGAGACGTTATCCACACCGTCGTGCAGCCCATTGACGCAGAAATGCAAAGCTACATTATGCCAGTATGGTGTTGCCGCGGTCTTACCGAAATCAAAGAAAAGTACTCCATATTATTCAATGCCACCCGATCATACACTTCTGGGAAATTCTACATGCGCTCGCCAGGAAGAGTGTGGTGTTATGGATGCCAGCCGCGCTCGAGCAGAATGGCCAGAGACCTCTTGGATGCTTCTTGGAGTCTCCTCTGATTTGTCTTGAAAGCGTTTGTGAGTTCTCTTGGAGCGTCTTGGGGGCCTCTTGGCGGTCTTGGGGGCCTCTTGGATCGTCTTGGGTGTTTCGGAGGAGACTCTTGGGGCCTCATGTGTATATCTTGGGAGCCCCTTGGGGACCTCGTGGATGCCTCGTGGGGCCTCCTGGGCGCCTCGTGGGGCAGTCTTGGGAGTCTCGGGGGGTATCTTGGAGGAGATCAATCAAAGAAGGGGTGTCGGAAACTAGGGTCCCCTCCCAGGAGGCCAAACTTGGCGTTGCATCAAAGTATAATCAATAATTTGTGTCTTCTCGCCGAGGCCATCGTGGACGTTCCAGTTGGTCGTGGGGCGCCCCGTCCAGGTCCACGGGATGGGGGTAGGGGGAGGTGTCAAGGCACCACCTTCCCCGCCCGCAAGCTGTCTCGCTCACTCCCGCACGCCCTCGCAACACATATGTAGCTGCCGAGCCTCAGCATGTTCAGCGGTCGTCTATAGATGAACAGCTATTGGAAACCAAAACAAACCTCATGTGCATGACGCTGGGGCGAGGCGCGCCCCGTGTGCCAGGCGCGCCACGCGCGCCAGGTGCGGAGCCCAAGCGTGCCAGGCAAGCCTGGCGCGCCGGATGCGCCACGGGCTCCACGTGCGCCATGTGTGCCCATGGTCCAGCCGCGCCAGGCCGCGCACGTGACAGCGCATATCGGGAAACGTGTCAGCCCCCACTTTACTTGGCGACAACCTATGCGCAATCGCGGCGGGGAGGCCATCATGGTGCCTGGTGGGCCTGCAAACAGCCGGCAATATGGCAGCACCCCCGCTGTCCTTATCAGAAACCCGGTGGACAGTGATCGCCATGGGCCGCGCATGATCCACATGTAGCCGCGAAGTGCATGTTGTATTATTAGTTGTGGCAAGGACGGTGGCTTGTCGCACAGCAGGCAATATGAGAGCATCCCGCCGACCCTAAACAAACAATACGAAGTGCTCGCGAAGCCCGCGAGCATGACCCGAGACTGTGCCCCACAGTGTATTTTGTAAACATTGTTGTGACATGGATGGGAGGGAGTTGTCATGGGTCCTCATTGGCTGCCGGTCGGCTGGGGGAGGGATCATTTGTTCATAGGGAAAATTGCTACACCCATCCCCGAAAGGGAAGAAAGGGGGTTGGAAGAGGAAACGCCCTGCACCACCTACGCTACGCCCGCAAGGCCTGATGGGATACATATTTATTTCACTTGTATGGAGTAGGATTGGCTGGATTTGGTCGCGTGCACGCCAACTTGATACTGACTGTGGCGAGCAGTTTGAGTGACTTCAGCGCTCCAAGTGCTGCAGTGTTGTCTGCATGTTGCCGGTTGATGTTTAAAACAGTTGCCCTAGCACTTATGTTAAGCAGGTCGACATGTTCTTATTAGGGAGTCACCCCCTTGCCATCTTTATGAGGTGTCTTGGTCAACGTCTCTTACAAGATCCTTCAACCCCGGGCGATCACTCGGGCATTAAACCCCGTGCTGGCTTTGGAAAATAATTGGTGACGTCCTTTGCGACGACAATACATGAGGATGTGCATCAAGAAGGGGCGGAGAAAGAACAAAATGTGAAAGAGGGTGCTAAATTAGTTCATTGTTCCTTCATGTATGTTCTGTTCAGGTGGATATTGAATATACTGGTTCACGTCAGTCAGCTACAGCGTTGGGATCAGCGCGTGCGAGAACAGTCAACAGTGTTGATTGGTGACGTCCTTTGCGACGACAATACATGAGGATGTGCATCCAGAAGGGGCGGAGAGAGAACGGAATGTGAAAGACGGTGCTAAGGTATGTCATTGTTTCCTCATCTATGTTCTGTTCACGTGGATATTGAATCTACTGGTTTACGTCAGTCAGCTACAGCGCTGGGATCAGCGCGTGCGAGAAAAGTCAGCAGTGGCAGCAGGCTCTGGCGCTTTTCAGCGAGACGCGGGAGGTGAAGCTGGAGCTCAGCGCCAGACTATCATTTCTACATCGTCGGCCCAGTGCGTGCGGGAAAGGCCCCTTCATCGAGTGGGGTTCGGGCCCACCAGGCAGCAGCCCATACGGCTCAGAGGCTCCCAAGATGGCCCCGCCTTGGATGCACGTACAGGAGGGCCGCGGGAGCCCCCAGAGGCTGTAGCCTAGGCCTCCTAGATGGGTTCCGAGTCAATTGGGTCGGAGGTCTCGCGCCGCATCGGCGATGCAGTTCGATGCGGGGCCCGATTTTCTCCATGCCAGCGTCGCCGATGCACCGCCGATGCATCGCCGATGCATCAGCGATGCATCGGCGATGCGGCGCTACCCGCCAACCCCATCTCCTCGGACCCCACCTGGGAGGCCTCTCTATGTGGGGAAGGCCCTGGAGGCGACGAGGCGCTCCGCGGAGCGCCCCGAGGAGCTTCAGGAGCGGCCTGAGAAGACCTCACGTCAGGGCCAGGGCAGCAAAGGCCACTCGATCATGAAGTTGGTCGGTGCATGTCGCCTTCCCGGCTGTCTGGCCGAGTACGGCCTTCGGGAAGCATCGCAGGGCCTCGCCCACAGCCTCCTCCTCCTCCTCCTCCTCCCCCTCCTCTTCCTTCTCCTCCTCCTCTTCCTCCTCCTCCTCTTCTTCCTCCTCCTCCTCCTCCTGCTCCTACTCCTCCTCCTCCCTCTCCCTCCTGCCTCCTCCCTTCTGCCTCTCACCGTTGTCCCTTCTACAATGCCGAGACCAGCGCGTACGAGAACAGTGCCTTGAGGCCGCCAGGCAAGCGGGCTAGCGGGGCCAGACCTCCCTTGGAGACTCCCGGCACGCCCCAGAGACGGCTTCTGAGATCCCTCCCCCAGTCGAAGATGGCTCTAAGAAGCTCTTCCGAGTGCACCACAGGCCCCAAGAGAGGACCCCTGAGGCGGCAAGAGAGTCCCTGGACAGATTGCTTCGGAAGAGCTTCGCGCGGCCTGGGAGCAGAGAGCCCTAAGAGGGTCCCAGAGACCGCCCAGGTCGGCCCAACAAATGCCCAAGAGGGGCCCCGGAGGGCCCACAATCTGCGAGAGTCAGGAGGGGAAAGAACACACAGACACAATTAATCGTCGACTCCCAGAAAATATAGGAAAATATGGGAAGTGGTGGGGAAGACAAAAACCCAGAAAATATACGAAAATATAAGGGATATTGTTATTTGTGTGTATTTATTTGTGTGTCCCAGTGCCCCTTCAGAGAGGTCTGAGTTGGCCAAACATGGCCCGGAGAGGGCGTCAAGACTTGAGCCAGACCACATCTCTGTTCTGATGCAGTGCGTGCGAGAACAGAGTGCTGAGGAACTGCTGGGAAGTTCGGGCCCGAGCCCGCCAATGTGCCCCCAAGGACAGGTCTAAGAGGGCTGGCGAGATGGCCTCAGAAGGGATTGGGAACCCAAGAAAGCAAAACCCTAATCAGCGAGCGAAGAACGGTATAAAATACACTTGTTCGCTGTCGGGGGCGCCTGTCCCTGGGCGGCTGGAAAGTTTATACCCCTACGGTGCCACCGTAAGGATATAAACTTTCCAGCCGCCCTGGGACAGGCGCCCCCGACAGCGAAAAAGTTTATTGTATACCGTTCTTCGCCCGTTAACCTAAGACGGCGCCGAGACGACCCAACCAGGACCCAGGCGGAGAGCCCCAAGACAGCGCAGGACAGTTCCGAATGGCCCACTTGCTTCTTCAGGGCATCACCAGAAGCCCCAAGGTCCCCCAGTACGGCCCCGAAGTACCGGAAGACGACATCCCCGTATCTTCGGATCCAATACAACCACACGCATCGCATGCACTGCAGCTGCAACTTGTTGCCTCCTCGTCGTACCGGCCCAAGACCGCTCTGATGGTGATTGAGTCGTTTGTTGATTGTGGGTTCCATCCCCGGGATGCCCTACTCAGCTACGCAGAGGGAATCGGCGCGTGCGATAAAAGCGAGCGTGGCATGCATGTGGTAATGTTGCTCAACGACTTGACGGGCAGGATTTGGTAGCCGAGTGGAATCTTCTCATCTATTTCGCCAGGCAACATGTTGACAGTTTTCGTCATGGTTGGCTCTGGCTTGGTCCGATTGGTCTCCGCTACTTGTTGGCATGTCGACTGTTCGATCCTGCCCGCCCAGGCGGACCCACTCGGACTCCGCCGCCCGTCGGAACGTGTCGGGAACGTCCCAGCGCGCTCCCCTCCACAGCGCCGTGTCCCGAACAGGTTTGTCGTATCTGATGTGTTATGCGCCATGATTTGTTGTGCCTGCCGCGCCGTGTCGCGCTCAGCACTGTTGTCTTAGAATTTGAGTTGTGCCGCGCGTGCGCTGCAACCCTCACTTTTGCATGCGAGTGGTACTTGGTGGACGGCAGTCCAGGGGTCAGCCCCAGTCAGCTACAGCGCTGGGATCAGCGCGTTCGAGAAGGGCAGCCAGTGGCAGCGGGCTCTGGCGCTGCTCAGCGAGATGTGGGAGGAGAAGTTGGAGCCCGACATTATCTACAGTAGGTGCGGTTCGCGTCGGGTCGACTGGCGGCGACCCCGCCGCCAGCGTTCAACGTTGAACGCCACCCGCGATCAAGAATCGGTCGATGTTGAACAATCTGACGTCTCGGAAATGGCCGATCGTTCATGGTTGAACGATCCCCGCGGTGTCACGAACCAATGCCGGCTGGGGTCGACACCACACGAACCCGCGGTAGCAGACAACAAATGCGGGCCAGGGTCGACCTCACACGAACCCGCGGCAGCAGACAACAATAGTGGGATCAGCGCGTTCACCGCGGTATCACAGTGGCCAGGCCCCCATTTCGCCAGTGCCGGAGGCCCCGACGGCCAAAGGCGGCCTCCAGGACAGCCCCAAATGGCTCTAGACGCCCCCAATGACAGAACTCGGAGGCCCATGCTGCCCGAGGACGCCCAAAGACGCCCCATGATGCTGCTATTGGGGCCCCGCGAGTCTCCAAGATGGCTCCGCGCAGGGTCCCCAATAGGCGAACCTCGTAATAATATAACAAGAAGAAGAGGAAGACGAATAGGAATGGAAGAATAAGAAGAGTAATACTGATGGGGTAATTCTCATTGTAATCGTGATAATAAGATGTGTCATCATCGTCCCCCCCTCCCCATTATCATCAACAGCAACAGCATCAGCATCAGCATCATCATCAGCAGCATCATCAGCAGCATCATCGTTATCATCAGACTCATGCCAATATTACAGAGCTGACGCTCCTGCCTGATTCGTTTAGTAGGGGGCAGGCGGTGGGACGCAGGCCCAGAGACCGACGTCTTGCAAGCGAAGACCTTGCGAATGGGAAGCGCGCGGAGATTTCAGATGCTTCCAGGGTCCCAGAGGCGCGCCCCCCCAGACCTGAAGAGCCCACTATTCCAGGAGTGATCAGGAGAGGTCGTGAGCAGGTGGTGGGTGGAGCCTCGCGGCCCTCTCAGGGTTTTTTTCTGCACGCTGGAATGGTGCGGATGCGAGTGCCGATCTGCATCTTCTTGGTGCACCGCGACAGCTGCAGGGCTCCTGCTTGCAGTGAGTCGCGAAGTTGCGTGGCCGCGCATCGTACATTGACGCTCGGGCGGCTCCAGATGGCCCCAAGAAGTGCCCCAGAGGCTTAAACGAGGGCCCAAGAGGCCTACCAGAGCCCTCCAGAGGGCTTCAGACTCGCCCAAGATAGCCCGAGATGGACCCAGCCGGTCTCCCGGATGGCTCCAACATGGGCCCAAGACCGCCCCCTAAAATGGTTCCAAGGTACCACCCGAAGGCCCCCTGACCGCACCAAACAGCACCTACAGGCCTTCCAGGACTGCCAGATGGCCACAGGAGGCCCACGAGGGACTCAATGGGAGCCAAAGAAGACCCAGAGAAGCCTCCCAGAATCGAGCAGTGGCGAGGCGTCCCAGCTTGCTTATAGGCCCACCGAAGAATGTTGTAAGAAACTGGTTGGTGGTTTGCACGAAGTGTCTTTATAACATTGCTGGTTAGGACCGTTTTGTTTTCGCACATCGGTTTGATGTTATAAGAACATCCCTTTGTTGTTGAATCATTATGTTATTAGATGTCGTGGTAGACCTACAAGAATGCTGGGATGGCCGGCCCCTGCTTAATAGAAGGCCTCAGGTTGGCTTCAAGAGAGCCCCAAGAGCAACACGAGAGGAACAACACCGGATGCTTGGGCACGCACTGCTCGAGGCCAGTGGGAATTTGATGCCGAGGCCGCCCATCAAGCCTCCCTCCTTGCTCCTGGCCCACTGCTCCTCGCCCCCCTCTCCTCGCTCCTTGCCCCTCCCCTGTCACTCGCCCTCGGTCCTCGCTCGTCCTTCCTGGCTCCTTGCTCGTCCCGCTGGGCTGTTGTGTGCTGGTCGCTCCTCGAGCACCTCTCCGCCATGTTCGCTTCTCGCTCCACGTGCCTGGAGCCTCCCGCAGTGCTCCGCGTTCGTCACCCGTCCCTCTTTGCTCCGTGTTCCTGACTTCTCTCGCTTCTCTCCTCTCGTCTCCTCTCGAGGGAGGGGAAAAAACACCCAGACCTGATAATTGGCGTTTATTAGACAGCCCTGGGAGTTGTCTGAACAGCCCTTCCCTGTTCGATTCCCTGTTTGGGTGCGTTTACTGAATGGTTTCGCGTGTCGGGGTGATTACTATGAGGCTGAATGTTCTGCTATCTGTCCTCGCTTCGCTGGCTGGGCCCTCGCTCCTCCCTCGCAGGCTACCTCGCGCCTCCCTCCCGCTTCTCTCCTCGCCGCGCCTCCCTCTTCGCTCCTCGCTTCCAGCGCTGCGTGGATCGCTCCTCGCTCCTCCCTCCTCGGCCCCCCCCCCCGATCCTGACGCAGCGCTCCTCGCTCCCCTTCCGAGCAAAGCAACAGCAGCGAATTGCAGCAGCGCGCAGCATGAAGTCGGCCGGCAGCAGCGGCAGCATGGGCAACAGCAATCAGCAGCAGCAGCAGGCAGCGAGCAGCAGCTTGTGCAGCAGAATCGGCCATCGGCAGCACCTTGGAGCCACAAGCAGGAACAGCTCACAGCGACTGCAATTTTAACACAGCTTGCAACAGCGACAGCAAGCAGCAGCATGCAATAGCAGGCGCGGACTGCGACATTCAAGCCCCACGCTGTGTCAGCACGTCCGCCATTACATGCCAGTTTTGTGCAGAATTCCTGGACGTAGTCCACCAGTAGTCCACCAGCTCTCCCGAATTAGTCAGTTGCAATGCTGGAATAAGTGCGTGCCAGAAGGGCGACCAGTGGCAGCGGGCCCTGACGCTGCTGAACAAGATCTGGGAGGTGAACTTGGAGACCAACGTCATGAGTTATAATGCTGGGATTACTGCATGCGAGAGGGGCAAACAGTGGCAGCGGGCTCTGGCGCTTCTGAACGAGATGTGGTGGGCGAGGTTGGAGCCCGACATCAACAGCCAAAGCGCTGCGATCAGGGCTTGCGAAAGAAGCGGGCAGGGGCAACATGCGATTTGGTTGCTCACCGAGACGTGGGATACGAAGCTTGAGTCCAACGTCGCTAGCTTCAGTGATGCCATTATCGTTGCAGTGCGCAGGTAGACACTGAGGAGGGCAAATTGCAATCCTGTGGTTGACGTATGCGAGACACGAACATCGTTGCAGCAGGCGTTGTCACTGCTCACGGAGATGGGGGAAAGTGAAGATTGAGACCCAATGCCGTGGCGATTGCGACGGCGACGACACCCTGCGCTCGCAGACGACGACGGGGACGACGACGACGTGCCCCGCCCGCCCGACGTGTCCCGCCCGACCGACCGGCTCGCTGGTATGCGACGAAGACGACAACGGCGATGGCGACGGGGACGGCGTCCAGCGCTGGCAAACGACGACGAGGACGACGACCACCACGACGACGTGGACGACGACGACGAGATGTCCCGCCCGACCGACCGACTCGCTAGCAAAGAACGACGACGACGACGTCGTCTTCGTTCGATGGCGGCGAAGGGGGGGGGTGTTCTCGCTGGAGAGTGGGAGGGCCAAGTTTTGGAGAGGAGGGGGAATTTTTGAGGGGAGGAGCCAGGTCCAGAGGGGGGGGCTTCGGTTTTGGCAACTTGTCAAAAACCGAAGCCCGTCCCGATGCACAGGAGACGCTCTCTCACGTGTGTGAAGGTGTCCGAATGCAGTTGATGCGTCTTAACACGTCGCGCCACGGTCTCGTTGGGCCGTGTGATGGTGAGCAGGTTGTTGGGCGATTGCATGTTCACACGTACCCGTGTGCGGGCGGGCGCGTTCAGGGGCAGTGATAAAGTAGGATAGGCTCAGGGCGGAACGCATCGACCCCCAAGCACTCACTCATCGCCGATGGGGGCCCGGGAGCCCACCCCGCCCAGGAGTCTGCAGTTTCGATATCGCGGCAGATCGTTGATCTATCAGCGATGCGTCGCCGATTCCAGGTCGATTTCCCACCTGGGCCAGTCCATCCCCATCGTTGCCCCTCAATTCCGCTGGCTACCCACAAAGCATAGAGGCTCGTACGATCGGTCGGTGTTACCCCCCCCTGAGCCAGCCGCCCCCTGTCGTTCCCCGCCAGGTGTGCGCGTGCCGATGTCCGTGCGCGCCCGATGTGCGTGTGCGCGTGCCGATGTTCGCGCGCGGCAGTCTCTTAGATTAGAAAGTTATGGGTGCCGATTTCCCGGTCTCCAGAAGTGCTGTTGCCCGGCCCTCGGCGGCTCGTGTCTCGCAAGCTGCCAGGGGCCAGTCTTGGTGCACGTGCAGCTGACGACGGTCGTCGGGCCACACGGTCTAGAATGCAGCTTCGAACATAGAATTGGGCGCTGCGTAATGAGGGATCATAAAATGGGGGGGCGGCGAGTGCGGTCCGAAAAGGTACCCAAATGGTACCTAAACGAGCCCCCTGGGGCTCTGGAGGGGCCCGAAAGGGGCACGAAAGGGGACCTTTTCTGACCCCCCCATTTGTGACCCCCCCATTAAGCCACGCCCAATAGAGTCCGTGATTTGGTGGGTGGGGGGGTGACGTGGGTCGCCCTCGATGTCCGCGCGCGCCCGCAGCTGTCCTGGCCCAGGACGGGAGCAGCGCCACCGCCGCCCGCTCGGCGAGCCGCCGCGGTCGCGGGGAGGATGCTCCAGGCGGCGACGGCGTTCGGCGGCGGCGTCTGGGCTGCCCAGAAGATCGGCAAGGGGGCGGGCTTCGCCCTCCGCCGCCGGCCCCGCCCCCCCTCGTGTGATGGGGCTGCGCGGTTCGAGCGCCGAGGTTCGAGCGTCGAGGTTCGAGCTTCGAGGCGCTGCTTCTCCGCTTTCGGCTTCTGGGGCCGGGGTGAAATGCCGTGCCGGGGGGTTCCCGAGAGGGGTCCAGGGACCGATGTTGACCGACATCCGGCGGCGCGACCAGGGGGGGGAAGTGAGAAGGAGAGGGCCTTCTCAGAAGGCGGCGGGACTTCTCAGAAGCCCCCGCCGCCTTCCGAGAAGTGTTCTTCAGGAGGGGAAAAAACACACAGACACGATTAATCGGCGATTCCCCAAAAATATGGGAAAATATGGGAAGTGGGGGGAAGACAGAACCCCAGAAAATATAGGAAAAGATTGAGACATTTTTATTTGTGTGTATTTATTTGTGTGTCCTGGGGCCCCTTCAGTTCTGTGTCTTCGGGGAAGGCTCAGAGAACTTGCGAGAAATCCAGGGGACGTCCGAGCCTTCTGAGAAGACCGTCTCCTTCTCACTTCCCCCCTGGGCTCGCCGCCGATGCTTGGCTACGCGTACGATTGATTATTCGCCGGAGTGGCCTTTGGAGCGGGCACGCACGCGGGCGCGCTGGGATGGTTTGGGCTTGGCCTCCCCCGACGGCCCCCTGGCCAGCCGCGCACCAAAGGCCACTCCTGCCCAGGGTCTCTCTTGCGTGCACCCGAACAGTTGCCGATCTCCTGAGCTCCTGGGCCACCCTTGTAGGGAGCAGAAACTCGAGGCCTCCCAGTGGGGGTCCGAGCAGATCAGCGCGCCGCAACGTTGACGCATCGGCGGTGCGGCTCGATGTGGAGCCCGATGTTCTCCACGGCGACGTCGCCGATGCGTCGCCGACGTCGCAGATGCATCTCGGAGGCGACGATAGGAGCGAATAGCCCAGGGCGGGAGCAATACATGTATCCAGGGGCGCCGATGGTGCATGCCTTCGGTGAGGCTCCCGGGCGAATACGTGCAACGCCCGCCCCTTCGCTATTCGCCTCCATCGCCGCCCCCGAACATCGGCGACGCGGCGCGATCCTCCGACCCCGGCTGCTCCTACCCCCGCCGGGAGGCCTCTTGCGAAGCCCAGTCAACACGCAGCCCGAGGGGCCCCCACGCAGGGGGGCCCTGGCGGCTCTCTCGCTGCCCTCCGTGCAGCGCGCCGTGGACCAGAGCGAGTCCTTCAAGCTGCGCGTGCGGCTGCAGTCCGCGAGCCTCGCGGGGCTGGCGGAGCCCGGCCTGGTCTCCACCACCCACCAAACCACCCCAACCCAACCCGAAGGCTCAAATTTACCCTCGATTTCTAGTGGGGGGGGGTCGGGAAACATCGAAAAAACACGCGTGGAACCCTTACCCCCCCCAACCCGAAATTCGGGTCTTCGGGTTGGGTTGGGGTGGTCTGGTAGGTAGTCAGGTCTCCAGAGAGCGCCCCCGAGTAGATCGGGGGCGGCAAAGGGGGGGGTGATGACTGAGGGGGGGGGTATCATGGCGTCGGCCATGAGATCTCCCCAGATCTCATGGCGCCTCTTCTCATTTCATTGCGTCCCTGGCCCCCCCCCAAGGGCTGCGCCCATGCCGCCGGCCATGATTTGCGCCCGCCCCCCCTCCCTCTTGGACGCCCCCCTCTTGGCCGCCCCCGAGTAGAGGTGGTCGTTGGCGGGGTGCGGAAAGATCGGGGGTTACCAAAGTTGCCCCCGGCCCAGGGCGTCTCCAGCTTGTCGCTTTATTTGCAGAGATCCTGGGGCCTCGCCGGGCCTCGCGAGGGGTGCTCTGGAGGCCATGGGGACCTCCTTGGAAGTCCTGGGGACTCCCTAATCGGCCGTGGACACCTCTAGCAACACCCGAAAAGAGACGGAGCTGGGCGACTTTCACGGCGTGGAGAGCTTCCGCAGCTTGCGGAGCTCCGAGGGGAGCAGCTTCGCAGACGCCCGCGAGAGCCCGTCCTCCTCCTCCTCCTCCTGGCGCTTCCACGAGACGCTGACCTTCCCAGCGGGCCTCGCGGACGTCGTCGGCACGGGCGCTCAGGTTTGGGTCCGAACGCAGAGCGACGTGCGGTTGGGCCCGCTGCAGCTCAGCCTGGCGCAGGGCCGCAGCATCGGCATGTGCAGCGTGGATCTACGCAGGCGCGTGTTGCCCGCGTGCAAGGCCAGGCCACCGCGGCACCCCGACCACGTGGGCGACGACCCCACCTGCCAGTGGGAGACTCCCGTGCTGACTTTCCCGCTCACCTACGTTGGCGGAGGGGAGGGGGACTCCAGCAACGCGCTGGGCGAGAACGTCGGCAGCGTGCGCATCTCCTTCGGCGTCAGCGTGGACCCGTCCACCATCCTAAGGGCCGCGGAGGAGGCCGAGAGGCCACTGTTGCACCGGAAGGCGGACCAGGTGAAGCAGTGGATCGAGAAGCCCGTGCGTTGGGTCGCAGAGGCGAGCATGGCGGCCGGCTGCCAGATTGACGGGGACGGCAGGGTCAACGATAGTGGGGGGTAGGCATAGGGGAGGATGCATCGACCCCCAATCGTCCACCCATCGCCGCTAGAGGCCCGATACTGAGCCCACCCCCGCCCAGGTACGTGCGGATTCACTAATGGGGGCCCATCGCCAATCCATCGGCGATGTGTCGCCGACTCCAGGTCGATGTCCCCCCCCCTATGCCAGTCCCCCCCCCTGCCGTTGCCCCTCAGGACGGCTGCCGCCAGAGCCGGAGCTTCTGCGGGGCGTTCGAGGCCGAGCGCCCCGCCGAGGGCGCCCCCGTGGTGCGGGCGCCCGACCTGGACAGGGACGGCTGGGTGAAGCACCAGGGCCCCAACGGCCGCGTCTTCTGGCACCACATCGAGGCGTTCCGGAAAGGGCCTCGCCTTCGAGGGCCGAGTCGGGGGCCGTCAGAGGCGCCCCAGGGCCCAGGGTGCCCCCAGCTCCTCGCTCCACGCGGAAGCGCCTGGGGCCCCCTTCTGGGCCTCGTGACGGGGTGCTCTGGAGGCCGAGGGGGGGCCCACTCCTGGTGCTGCGGCGCTGGCAGTGGAGACGGGGAGGAGGGAGGAGCAGGAGGAGGAGAGCTTCCTGGGAGACCCAGAGGGGGCACCCTGGGCCGGGGGCACCTCTGGCAGCACCCGCTCGAAAAGGAGCTGCGCCACCTTCCCCGGCGGAGGGCGGCGGAAGGCGCGCGAGGGGCGGCGGACGTGGAAGCGAGGCCGCCTCCGCCGGCGGAGGGCCGGCGGAAGCCGGCGGAAGTAACATCGGGGCTCAGGAGACCGGGGCCGAGCGAACGGGGGGGAGAGGCAAAGGGGGTTTACGAAATTCTAGACGCTTCGCTTATCCCCACCGGCCCATCCCGGAACGATGTCCAGGCGAGTTGAGGTGATCCGGGAAGTGCGGCAGCAAAGAGGAGGACGGCCGAAGCGTGCAAAGGAGTGAGGAGGAGAAGGAGGAGGTGGATGGATGGATGGATGAGGGAGTGGGAAGACGGAGGATGAATAGGATGAGGAGGAGGCGGAGGAGGAGGAGGAGGAGGAAGAGAAGGAGTAGGAGCAGGAAGGAGGAACAGGAGGAGGCGGAGGAGGAGGGCAAGCACAAGGGCCAGAGGTCTCTTGGATGCCTCTAGGAGCCCCTTGCAGTATCTCTTGGGCGATTCTTGGGGGCCTCTTGGGACGTCTTGGGGGTCTCTTGGCGATCCTGGCAGGCTCTTCGGGGTCTTGGGTGCCTCGGGGGGGGGCCTCTTGGGGCCTCTGAGGGTCTTCTTGGGGGCCTTCTGGGGGCCTCTTGGGGGCCTCTTGGGGCCATCTTGGGACCATCTTGGGACCTCTTGGGGCCTCCTGGGCGCTTCTTTGTGTCATCTTGGAGGAGATCTATCAAAGAAGAGCTGAGCTTTAATTAGCGCTGCCCCCCCAGGAGGCCAAAATGGGGGCCAAAACCATGCTAAAATCAATGATTTTGGCTTCCTCGCCGAGGCTGTTTTGGACGCTCTGACAGCTCCCCGCCCCTCCTGTCCAGGTCAGTGGGGAGGGGGTAGGGGGAGGGGTAAACCCCTCCCCGAAGGGGAAGAGGGAGGGGTGGAAGAGGAAACGCCCTAAACCACCGACGCCCAGAAGGCTGGTGGGATTGAGGCGTCGAGTACGGATGTGCAGGCAGAATAACATATTTCTGTGAGAAGCATTTGATCGTTTCGGTTGCTCTTACATGTGTTTTCGCAGTATTCTGGGCTTCGCGTCCCGCGCGAGCGCTCGATTGAATTTATTTTGAAGCAGGTTTTGGGCGTCTGGGGTCCTGATAGACGCCATCGGGGCGCTCTGGGGGGGCATCTTGGAGCAAATCTATCAAAGAAGAGCAGAGCTTTCATTTGCGCTGCCCCTTCAGACTGTCTAAAATCGCTTCCTGGACCCCTCTTGGATCGCTCTTGGAGCGCTCTTGGACGCTGTTGAGGCAGTCTTGAGGCTCTCTTGGGCCCCTGTTGGGGCCCAGTTGGGACATCTTGGCGCCATCTTGAGGCCTCGGATGGGCTTCGGAAGCGAAAAAGTGAGAACACCAAAAACATTGATTTTCCCTAGGATTTAGAAGCATTTCGACCTTTCGAGGGCACTCTAATGATGCTCTTGTGGGCACTTGGAACCATCTTGGAGCGGTCTTGGAACGTGTTGGAGCGTCTCCTGAACCATATTCAGGCATCTTGCGCTATCTTGAACCATCTTGGAGGCGATCTTGGGCTCTCTGAGGCCCTCTTGGAGCCGTCCTGGGTCATCTTGGACGCTCTGACCGCTCCCCGCCCCTCCTGTCCAGGTCAGTGGGGAGGGGGTAGGGGGAGGGGTAAACCCCTCCCCGAAAGGGAAGAGGGAGGGGTGGAAGAGGAAACGCCCTAAACCACCGACGCCCAGAGGGCTGGTGGGGAAACGCTTCGCGTATCCCCACCAGCCCGTCCAGAAACGACGCCCAGGCGAGTAGAGGGTCGTCCTGAGGGGCTTTTCGGCGTCTTGGGTGCCTCGGGGGGGCCTCTGTGGGCCGTTCGGGATCCTGTTTGGGGCCTCCTGGGGGCCTCTTGGGGCCTCTTGGGGCCATCTTGGGGCCTTTGGGGGCCTCCTGGGCGCTTCTTGGGGCCATCTTTGCCCCCTCAGGAGGCCAAAACGGGGCCAAAATCTTCAGTAAAATCAATGATTTTGGCTTCCTCGCCGAGGCCGTTTTGGACGCTCTGACCGCTCGCGGCCCCCCCCGTCCAGGTCCACGGGGAGTGGGTAGGGGGAGGGGTAAACCCTTCCCCGAAGGGAAAGAGGGAGGGGTGGAAGAGGAAACGCCTTAAACCACCGACGCCCAGAGGGCTGGTGGGATTGCCTCGATCAGGGAAGTGGACAGCACACAGAGGAAGCCAGTATGAGACATCTTGGGATTTCTTGAGCCATCTTGGAGGTCATTTTGGGCTCTCCGAGGCGCTCTTGGAGTCATCTTAATCAGTGCCCCCCCCCAAGAGGCCAACATGTGGCTAAAACCTTAGTGCAAACAATGGTTTGACATTATCGCAGAGGCCTCTGGGAGCACCTTGGGTGCCTCTGGGGGGTCTCTTGGGGCCTCTTGGGGGTCTCTTGAGGGCCTCCTGGGGGCCTCTTGGGGGGCCTCTTGGGGCCATCTTGGGGCCATCCTGCGGCCTCTCGGGGCATCCTGGGGGCCTCTTGCGGCCATCGTGGAGGAAATCGATCAAAGAAGAGGGGAGCTTTAATTAGCCCTGCCCCCTCAGAAGGCCAAAATGGGGCCAAAACCATGGTAAAATCAATGATGTTGTCTTCCTCGCCGAGGCCGTTTTGGACGCTCTGACCGCTCCCCGCCCCTCCTGTCCAGGTCAGTGGGGAGGGGGTAGGGGGAGGGGTAAACCCCTCCCCGTAGGGGAAGAGGGAGGGGTGGAAGAGGAAGCGCCCTAAACCACCGACGCCCCGAGGGCTGGTGGGATTTGCTGCATGCAGCTGGTTTCGGCCCCGTCGCCGGGACTATTCCCCGATACATGGGCGCCTCCCGGCGCCAGGAGGCGCCGGGAAAATCAGCTACGTGAGCAGAGTCTCACCCCCCCCCCTTTGCTATCCCCCCCTGTCGCCCGGCCCGAGACCCATGCAAACGTCAAGCAGTGGCGAAGCGTCCTGGCTCGCCTCTAGGCCTACCAAACAATGTTCTAAGAACCGTTTGCGGGTGCCACGGAATGTTGCAGGGTCCTGCAGGACCTTGCAGGGTCCTGCAAGTCCTGCCTGACCTGGGTCTGGATTGAGCCGTGCCAGTAGACCTTCGGTAAAAGTCTGCCTCGCACGAGTCAGACCCGGAACCCCTCGCGTTGTGAACAGATCCCGAGTGCAGGTTTTTCTGAATGTTCGGCCTTTGGGGGCCCTTATCGTGTCTCGGGACCATCCAACAAGGACTCTGGATGGAGAACCGGTTCCAGGGAAGGGGTCGAGACCTTTGGGGGTCGACGTTGGGAAACAATCACGGCATCTTGTGCCTGGAGAGCAGCAATAGGTCATGATAATGATGTGTTCCAAGGTATCCGAGATTCCTCGGGTGTTCTATCATTTGTTTAGGAGTGCTTGTACCAGCGCCGTCCACATGGTAGTCTAGAGCCCCGCACGAAATTTCATGCGTCGAACGATACTTGGGGGCAATGCGCTTGGTGGTGGGGGTAACAAAAACTGCCACGCAAGAGTCAGAGCAGCAAGCGGTAATGATAATGATGAAAGCCCGATTGGTGGGACCCCAGTCTCTCAAGAAGGCCGCCGAACAAATGCTTAGTTCCCCCTAGTTGGAGGGGTCTAAAGACCTTTCAGGGTTTCCAAGATCCCCACGGTTTCCTGCATGTCCTGACGCTCCACGGGCTGCAGGGACGAGAGCCCGCAGATGCTTCCGGGATTATTGGGACGCCTCCTTACCCAAAATCCGACCATGACATCAGTCTTGTCCTAAAGAGATGACAGCGGGTGGACACCAACACCAAAATCGGGGAGTGCGTCCACCTGGGAGGATGATCCTCGATTCTGGAGCTGGTGATCATATGTCGGCCACCTGGGAAGCCCGGAGCTTACCCACCATCACCACCGAGATCGGGATCATCTTCCAGCGGCAGAGGCCACACCGCCAGTACCGGTGCTGGTGCCTACCTTTGAGGCCCTCCCGAAATTTGGCCTCTCCTGGCGGGCACCTCTCGCGTCACCACCGAGTGGTCCGCCCAGTCCTTCTCACGACCGGCCATCCATCGGCCGCGTGGCCCTCGATTCCTTTTCAAATCAGGGGCAACTGTAGGGGGGAGGATAGGCATACGGGAGGATGCATCGACCCCCAATCGCCTATGGATCGCCGATAGGGTCCCGAGAGCCCCAGCTTGCCCAGGAAGGTGCGGATTCAGGATCGGAGGCCTACCGACGATCTGTCGGCGATGTATCGCCGGCTCTGGGTCGACGCATCCCCCCCCTATGCCAGTCTCCCCCTCAGTGCCAGTCGTTGCCCCCCACCAAGCGGATTCCCCACCTCCGAGCCGGCAGCGCCCCTGGGCCCGGGGCCCCCGGAGCCCTCCGCATGTCCCTGGGGTCGCCGCCCTGGGAGCAGCTGCAGCCGCCGTCGCCGGGGAGCGGCAGCAGCGCCGCCTGCTCGCCCGGCTCGGCGGCGTCCGCCTCGAGGCCCGCCGTGGGCCCGGGGCTCCCGCTCGGCGCCGCGGCGCCCGCGCCCGCGCCCGCGCCGGAGAGGGGCGCGGCGCCGGCGGGCCAGGCGGGGGCTCAGTTTGGGCGGCTCCTCGGGCGCGGTTCGCGGTGGTTTCGGGTGCGGCTGCTGGTGCCGATGCGGTTCGGATGCCGACTCGGTGCGGTGTCGAGGGGTTCCGATCCGATTCGTCTCGGGGTTCCGATTTGGATTTCGGTCTCTCCATGGCGGGCCTTACCACCCTGTCGATGTCCGCCGATCCGATTCACTTCGATCGCAGATCCGACTTATCGATTCGATGCTGGGCTCTCCGGCCAGCTACGGGCACTTTTGCACGGGTCCTGGGCAGGTACATCCTGGTCGGTGATCCTCAGGACGTGTGTTAGCCCAATGTGTGTGTGTGCGTTTGCCTTATACCGGTTGCGTCGTACTGAAGGGCCTCGATGGTCAAGCACACGTCGTTGCTAACACCTTCTGGAGATCATCGACCTGGGCGGCAGCCGTGGGCAAAACAACTTATTTATATCCACGGCCTCGCGGGCCAAGCCCCTGGGCCGCGACCCCGCAGATACGGGGCGCTTTTTCGCGGATGCCCCGCGGGGAACGTGTCCGTGAGACCGCGTATCCGCGGGATCGTGCCCCGGAATCCAGATCGCGAGGGCGTGGATGTGGATACGTTCGCCATTTGCGGCCCAGGTTGAACCCAGCTAGGATTAATTTACAAGCGTACAGCTGCGCGACGGAAGACAACGGGGTCGAATGCGCCAACATTCGCGTAAATTTCCCGCGTGAGGCCGCGCGTCAGCGCGCCCGTTTCCAGCGCAGCGGCCCGCGCTGGTGGCCCGCGTAAGCCACCGTGTAAGATCGATATGTTAACCAGACCCCCGACGTCGTGATTTTTTCGCAACGTCGACCCCCAGAAGTCTCAGCCCCTTCCCCGGGACCCGTTCTTCATCCTGAGTCGTTGTTGGACGGTCCCGAGGCTCGGTGAGGGCCCCCGGAGGGCGACGATAGCGAAACATTTACCGTCGGGACGGTTCCGCAACGCGAGTCTAGGCCTCCCAGATGGGGTCGGAGTAGATTGGGTGGGAGGATCGCGCCGCATCGCCGATGTATCGACGCTGCGGCTCGATGCGGAGCCCGATGTTCTCCACGCCGACGTCGCCGATGCGTCGCCGACGTCGGCGGCACATCGCGGGTGCATCGCCGATGCATCGCCGATGTGTTTGCGATGCGGCGCGATCCTCCGACCCCATCTACTACGACCCAATCTAGGATCTAGGAAGATTCTAGCGTTGGAAAGCCTAGGGTTCGCTACGGATTGGTCTGCCCCCAAAACGACGACAACCCTTCCAAAACCCTCGCGAACCCCTCCGGAAACCCTCCCGGAACCCTTCCAGGAGTGGTTTCGGAGGATTCCGGGAGGGCTTCTGTCGCCTTGACAGGAAGCCAGTCCCCAGCGATCTTTGGACTCTCTTAGGGCGACGAGATCTATGCATATCCACTGCTCCTGGCCAGGCCAATCCTGGGCCCAGGAGCGGTGTATACGCCCTCCTGGCCTGGCCAGGGAGGCATATACACAGCTCCTGGGCCCAGGATGGGCCTGGCCAGGAGCAGTGGATATGTATAGATCTCGTCGCCCTATCTCTAACCCGATAGCCCGGGGGTCCGGGGTCTCGCCAGAGACCCGCTTCTTCTCTTCGCTCCGCCGGCGCCCTGCGGAGGCCGTCGGGGCGGCCTCCGCCGCGGGCGGCGCCGCCGCCGGGCGGGGCCCGCCGTGCGCGGCGGCCGCGGGCGGCGGCGGGCTGTCGGCCTCCACCCGCGGCGGCGCCGCCCCGCAGGTCGCCCCGATCGGGGCGCCGCCGGTCGGCAAGGGAGGCGAAATCTGGGAGGAGGGGGGAGGAGGAGGGGGGAGGAGAAGTCAAGCAGTGGCGAAGCGTCCTGGCTCGCCTATAGCCCTACCAGACAATGTTCTGAGAACCGTTTGCGGTTTCCACGAAGTGTAATTCGAGCATGTCTGGTTGATATTGTCTTGTTCGACACATCGAGCTTATGTTCTACGAACATTGTTTTGGCTCTTAGAAAGTTTTCGGGTTCTGGGAACAGTTCGTGGTAGGACTATAGGAATCCCGGGACGGTCGGTCCCTGCTCAAAGAAAGGAGGAGGAGGAGCAGGAGGAGAGCAGAGGAGGAGGAGGCGGAGGAGGAGAAGAAAGGAGGAGGAGGTGGAGGAGAAAGGAGGAGGAGAAAGGAAGAGGAGGAGGAGGAGGAGAGGGGGAGGAGGATGAGGAGTTGGAGGGAGAAGGAGGAGGAAGAGGAGGAGGAGGACGAGGACGAGGACGACGAGGACTAGGACGAAGAGGGAGGAGGAGGAGGAGGAGGAGGAGGAGGAGAAAGGAGAAAGGAGGAGGAGGACGAGGAGGAGGAGGAGGGGGAGGAGGAGGAGAAGGAGGAAGGAGGAGGAGGGGAGGAGGATGAGGGGGAGGAGACAGGAGGAGGAGGAGGAGGAGGAGGAGGAGAAGGAGGAAGGGGAGAAGGAGGAGGGCGAGGAGGGAGGAGGAGGAGGAGGACCAGTGTAAACCCAAGTGTCATCAACGATGTTGGAATAAACCCTCCCTCCAAGCTCCCTCCTTCATAGGCCCCATATAACGGTTAATTCGCATGAGGGGATTGTTTGGTTGGAAGACAATATTTTGAAGACCCTGAAGCATGCATAAACATTGTTATCGGTATTCCACCGCCACGTTGCGTCTTGATGATCTTAAATCGTGCCAGAACGCCAGTCTTGGGATTTCGACACCGCGGATCAGTATAACTGTTGCAGCCACATGATTTTGTATCCGTCCAAAGCAAAATTTCTGGTACGTAGATCATGGGGATCCGTGAAGCCCTTGCACAGTGTTGTAAACAATGTGTGCGCGGCGCTAAGGCGAGAACCACACTTCGAAAAGGAACCGCCCTCAATCCGTGAAACTCTTGCAAATGTTTAAACCGAATGTGCGCGGCGGTAAGGCGATAGCCACATGTTGAAAACGACTCGCCCTCAATCCGTGAAACCTTTCCAATTATTAAAACAAATGCGCGCGGCGCTACAGCGAGAGCCGCATTTTGAAAACGACCCTCCCTCCATCCGTGAAACTGTTGCAGACGAAACGCCCGGCCCGCCCAAAACACTTGGCCTCAGGGAGAACTTGTTCATATGGAAAAAGAATGGAGGAGGAAGAGGAGGAGGAGGAGGAGGGAGGAGGAGGAGGAGGAGGGAGGAGGAGGAGAAAGGAGGAGGAAGAGGAGGCCTCCAAGATCCCTGAGATCCTGGCGTCGCAATTCGTTCACAACGGGCGTGTTCGCCCTGTTTCGGGCCCTGGGGCCTTCGCAGATCGATCTGGCTCGAAACATGGTCGTGATGTTTTGCGATGTTATATTTTATTTCCGCAACTCGGATCTCAGGTATTCGGGGGTTCGTGGAGGGGCGGTATCCAAGGTGGGGAGTGGGAGCGAACCCAGTTGGATGCTCGCATTTCCTTCTTCCAGGAGCCGTTGAGAGCGATTTTCCTCCCAACCTCACCCCTGCCCCTACCGCACCTTCACGTTCCCCCGACAGATGGGGTCGGAGCACAGAGCGTCGGAGGATCGCGCCGCATCGCCGATACATCGGCGATGCGGCTCGATGTGGAGCCCGATGTTCTCCACGCCGACGGTGCCGATGCATCACCGACGTCGCCGATGCATCGCTGATGCATCAGCGTTGCGGCGCGATCCTCCGACCCCATCTGCTCGGACCCCATCTAGGAGGCCTCTAGTCATGCGGGGGCGAGAATGGGGGGGGGGACAGATAATTAGGTGCACCTTTTGTGCCCTCAAGGGGCCCTGAGGGTACCCCCTGGGGCCCAAAAGAGGCCTCAATGGTGCACGTGTCTCGAAAAGGACTCTTGGGAGGCCCTGAAGAGGCTTCTCGGGAGGCCCGTAAGAGACCTCGTGGGAGGCCCTTAAGAGGCTGATTGAGAGGTCCACACGAGTGACATCACACATGATGTCGATGATGTCGATGATGATGAGGACGAGGATGAGGATGAGGATGATGATGATGATGGTGATGGTGATGGTGATGATGATGATGCTCATGACGCTAATGATGATGATGATGATGGTGATGGTGATGGTGAAGGTGATGGTGATGGTGGTAATGATGATGGTGATGATCGTGATGATGATGGTGATGATGGCGATGGTGGATATTAATGATGATGATGATGATGATGATGATGATGATGATGGTGGTGACGATGATGATAATAAGGTGATGGTGATGGGGATGCTGATTATGATGATGACGACGATGATGGTGACGGTGATGATGATGATGATGGTGATTATTCTTTTATGATGGTGACGACATTACAGATGGTGACGGTGGTATTTCACATGGGATTGACATTAGTTACACATGATGGTGACGATCATGGTGGTGACGTCGAGGAGATAGCCGACGACGCATGACAATGACGACGACATGAATGTTGCAGGGTGAGGACGGTGATGCTCGTCATTCTAATGATCATGACGTTGATAATGATGATGGTGATGATGATCATAATGATCATGATGATCATGATGATCATGATGATCATGATGGCGGTAACGATGATTACGATGATCATGGTGTTGATGGTGATGGCGCTGGTCATGACAATGCCGAAGACGATAAGGACAATAATAGAGGGAACTGCCAGGACGATGACGATGAGGTTGACGAACTGCCAATGACGACGACATGCATGACGAACTTGATGGGCAGGGTGACGACGGCGATGAAGTTGTTTATAATGATCCTGGCGATCTCGATGACGACTCTTACAATGATCATGGTGTTGATGGTGATGATGCTGGACATGACGTCGCCGACGGCGGCAACGACACTAATGAGGACGACGAGGAAGATGAAGATGACGATGACGACGATGATGATCACGATGATGCTGATGCTAAACCTCTGACGAAAATAGTCTCAACTATGATGACGATGACGACAACGGTATGAGGGTGATGATGGTGGTGATATGACGATTAGGACGATGACGTGGCGATCGCAAGTCTGATGACGCCGATGTTGATGTGAATGACAATGATGATCTCGTTCGAGATTGTGATGGCTACGATGGCGATGATGGTGATGATCATGGTGATGAGGATGCTCGTCGTCAGGATGACGATTGCTGGGGTAATCATGATGATGCTGGCCCTTCCTCCGGCTTCCGTGATGTGCGTTTCTCAGCCCGTTCCAACGATTCGATTTTCCCACCGTTCCGCTACCCACATGTCCGTTCAGGTTTTTGTCATTCCGTTATCATTCCGTTCCGTTGTAGTTTCGTAACATTAGTTTGTAATGTGCCAGTTTCGTGTTAGTGGTTGTTCGTTATGTTGTATGTTTGTTCCGTGTCGTGTTTTTGATTGTCCGTTCCGTTGCATTGTTCGTTTGGTCAGTCGCATGGTTGTTCCATTCCGTTGTTTCCGACCGTTCTGTTTTGAGGCCAGGGGGTTGTTTGGCAACACGATGTTTAGGTTTGTTCACGAATCATAGTATTTCTCTTCGTCTTGATTATCATTATCATTATCATCATCTTTCATGTTCCTTCTCCTAAGTTGCCTCTCTGGCTCTGAACCCTTCGAGGCTCGTGCCATGCGGCGCTGAACCCTTCGGGGCTCGTGCCATGCAGGCTTCGAGTGCAACACCCTTCGGGGCTCGTGCTCTTGGCCTACGCGCTCTTGGCGCAGAACCCTTCGGTGCTCGTGCCAATCGCGCTGGGGGCGCAGGACCCTTTGGGGCTCGAGCGCTCATGCTTCCTGGCGCTAGTTCCATGCGGCGCTGAACTCTTCGGGGCTCGTGCCATGTAGGCTTCGAGAGCAGAACCCATCGGGGCTTGTGCTGATGGCTTACGCGCCCTTGGAGCAGAACCCTTCGGGATTCGTGCCAATTGCGGTGAGAGCGCAGAACCATTTGGGGCTCGTGCTCTCATGTTTCCTGGTGCTGAACCCTTTTCGGGGCTCGTGCCACTGGCGCTCAACCCTTCAGGGCTTGTGCCAGGTAGGCTTCAAGCGCAGAACAGTTTCGTGGATCTTGAAGCTCTCCATGTTACGCTCCATCCCTTCCGGTTTACGTTCCTTGCGTTCCGTTTACCCTACGTTCCATTGTTTGTTTCTTCCCGTTCAGTTTTACATTCATTCTCTCCGTTCCGTTAATGTCTATGTTGTTGTTTCCGTTGCGTGTTATGTTTTGGTTTGTTGTATTGGTTGTCCGTTTTGGTTTATGTTCCTCCGCGTCGTTGTATCTTCATTCAGTTGCCCGTTTGGTTTGTATGTTTGTTCGGTTCATTGTGAGTTGTGTTCCGTTTTTGTCTTCCTCTTTCAGTTCAGTAGTATTGTTGTTTACTTGTCCATGTGATTTCCCCTCCATTCCGTTGTACCGTCCCTCCGTTTCATGTTATATTTCCGTTGTTCCGTTTTACCCTCATTCCGTTCCGTTGTATATGTTTCCGTGTCGGTGTTTTTTTTCCGTTCCAGTTTATGTTATTTCGTTTGCATGTGATTTGTCTTCCGTTGTGTTTGACCTTCCCCCAGTTCAGTCATACAAATGTTCCGTTATCATTGATTGCGTTTTTCCGTTATGTTGTACCTTCATTTCGTTCCGTTTCATTTTCCCGTTGAGTTGTATTATATGTTAGTGTTGTTGTATGCTCAGTTAGTGTTGTTTGTTGAATGTCCGTTCTGTTTTATCATTTTTCCGTGCTGTTCTACACTCGCTCTGCAGGAGGAGGCCCGGATTTTTAAATTCCGAGTTCCAAAGTTGAAAGTTTCCAAGCTCCAAATTCCCCAGTGCGCCCAAGCTCCATTCCTCCCCATGAAGCAACGCCCGACCGCGGGGAGGGGGGGAGGGCAACGCGTGTACCAGGCGGGCCGCCCGGCGAGGATCGAAGAGTGAGGAGCGAGGAGGATCGAGGAGTGTCGACGATCGAGGAGGATCGAGGATCGAGGAGGATAGAGGATCGCCCCCCCCACATATCACCCCCCCAGTAAGCAACGGCCAAAGAACTGCACACACACACACAAACACAAGCTCTCGGAGGTCCGCGCGGACCTCTTGGAGCGGCATTGACCCCCCTTGCGGGAAGCCGATCCAAAGAATCCAGGCGGACCTCCGAAAGCTCATGCTTACAGTCGAGGCTGCCAAATCAAGGGTACCCTGCCAAGTCAAGGGTACCCTCAGTCATGTGCTTCGCTCCGCGACCCATGACTTCTACACTCCTGTGGCAATGTGGCCCTCGGGAGGCTCTTGTGTCCTCTCGCGTATCCTCTCCAATCAACCTCGGCTGTATGACCTTCAGGTTTACGTCCAGAGGGCGGCTGGCGGCACTCCTGCGCGCCTGGCGATGCCCGCGGGCGCGCCGGCGCAGGCCCCCGCAAGGGCCGCCGGCGCGCGGGTCGCGTACGCTGCGCCAGGCGGCTACGTGGGTCGTCCCCGCGTGCTGCTTCCCGTTCCCAGGCCAGGGTGAGCACGCATCGAGGAGGAAAGATGGTACGGGCATGGGCTTTCGAAGGTCCGCGTGGAGTTCTTGGATCGACGCTGGGCGCCCCGCGCCGGGGAGGGGGAGTTCCAGCGCCGATCCGAGAAGTCTGCGCGGACCACCGACAGCTCATGTTTATCTTCGTTTCGTGATATCCGACCCCGAACCAAGTCGCTCGGTCGATGTTGTAGGTCTCCGCGGCGATCGCGGTGGCCACAAATCGGGGCAAGTTGTTTGTCAAGGAGTGGCATGCCCCTTCCCGGCTCCCTTCCTCCCCGCTCTGCGATGTAGCCGTGGCTCGTAATGAACCATCCAGCGGCACAGAGTCGTCAGTTCGTGTCCAACATGGGCAGTCATGTTTGTGTATCAGGGGTCGGTGTTCACGCAACCGTTCTTGCTCCTCTGTAGCAGTACGTGGTGCTTCCAGTGCCTGCGGCCCGCCGTCCTCCCGAAAGTCTCGACGTTCCGCACATCCACGCCGGCACATCCAGAAATGACGCCCAGGCGAGGTGCCTTGATCAGGGGAGCGAAAGGAGCAAGCAGTGGAACAAAAGAGTCAAGCAGTGGTGAAGCATCCTGGCATGCCTTTAGCCCCCCACGTAATTCTCTAAGAACTTCTGGTAGCTGGCACGAGATGGTCTTAGAGCAGTTTTGTCTAAGACCGTCTAGTATTAGTACATCGGCTTCATGTTCTAAGAACACTGTGTGTTCTAAGAACACTGCGCTCTTAGAAGAAAGGTCCTTTCGTTCTAAGAACATGGGCATGAACTTGCTCGCAGATATTTCGCTATGGAAGGTCTTGGCAGCTTACTTGGGCCATCTTGGTGCCATTTTGGATACAAGTCGGGCCATTTTGGAGGCCATCGACCAAAGAGGGGGGGGCTCCACTTTATGTCAGCCTCCCTGCCAGAGCCTTCAACATGGTTCCTTGGGGTGCCATTGGAGCGCTCTTGGGCGTTCCTGGCACCGCCTTGGAGCCTTCTTGGACCCCTCCCGGGCTCTCTTGGGCCATCTTAGAGCCACCGTGAGGCATCAAAACCCCGTCAGAAGCGAAAATGGGAGAACTTACCATCGCTCGGAAGTGTGCACGTTTCCCACAGCGGGAGTCATTGAGGAGCATAGCGGATCATCTTGTGACCAACATTACGTTACCAAGGAACCCCATTTATTTCTGATATGTTTGGCGTGATGATAGTTGACGTGAAATTTGTGAGAATGATGCAGACGAAGGGTTCGGCAAGTGCCTAGCCAAGCATTGCCTCCTGGCATCGTCAGTGCCTCCTTTACGCGGCAACTCGTTGTACCTGGTTAGGAGCGCGTCAGGCCAACAGTTTGCCAGTTGTCGGTGGTAAGCATCAAATGCGCCGCGTATCAACGAGCTCCCATGCCGCATAGCATCGCCGCGCAAACCATCCAGGTTCATTGCGGCGCCCATCTCTAACATTGATTTAGTGGGCTGCTCGCACGGCGGTGGCAAAGCGGCCATTGCGCATTTTGGCGCCATCACGGGGACCGTGCTTTTGACGGAGAGTCACCAGCGGTCCTCTGCGTTCAAATATCGAGCAGTCTGAGCCCGCATGAGCCAGGGTGGCTACAGTTCTTGACGATGAGAATAATGATGATGATGATGATGATGATGAAGATGATGATGGTCACGGTGATGGTGATGGTGATGGTGATGATGATGGTGATGGTGATGATGATGATGATGATGATGAGGATGATGACGATGATGCTGCTGATGATGATGATGATGACGATGACGATGACGACGACAATGACGATGATGAGAATGGCCCCCCCGCTCCGTTTGCGTGCCCCTATGGCCTCGAGACACGCGCGCGAGGCCATGGGAGACCGACCCCCCTGCGCACACCCTGTGGTATCGAGAAAATGCTATGCCTGCTATACCTTGGACGACCGTCGCGCATAGCGGCCGCGGTGAGAAACCACCCCATGCGCACCCCCCAAGGTGTCGAGGGAATGCTTCGCCTGCTGTGCCTGGACGACCGTCGCGCATAGCGGCCGCGGTGACAGACCACCCCCCGCGCACCCCTTTGTGGTGTCGAGAAAATCCCACGTCTGCTGTGCCCTAGACAACCGTCGCGCATAGCGGCTGCGGTGAGAAACCACCCCCTGCGCACCCCCTACGGTGTCGAGAACATGCTTTGCCCGCTGTGCATGGACGACCGTCGCGCATAGCGGCCGCGGTGAGAAACCACCCCCTGCGCACCCCCTACGCTGTCGAGAAAATGCCACGTCTGCTGTGCCCTATACAACCGGCGCGCATAGCGGCCGCGGTGAGAGACCACTCCTTGCGCACCCCGCAACGTGTCGAGGAAATGTTTCGCCTGCTGTGCCCTAGACAACCGTCGCGCATAGCGGCTGTGGTGAGAAACCACCCCCTGCGCACCTCTTACGATGTCGAGAAAATGCCACGCCTGCTGTGCCTGGACGACCGTCGCGCACAGCGGCTGCGGTGAGAGACCACCCCCTGCGCACCCCCTTACGGTGTCGACACAATGCCACGCCTGCTGCGCCCGGATGTTCATCGCGCATAGCGGCCGCGGCGAGAGACCAACCACCCTTTGCGCACCTGGTTGTTGTGTCGATAAAATGCCACGCCTGTTGTGCCTGGATTACCGTCGCGCATAGCGGCCGCGGTGAGAGATCACCCCTGCGCGCCCCCTCCGGCGCCGAGAAAATCTAACGCCCGCTGTGCCCTGGACGACCGTCGCGCATAGCGGCCTCGGTGAGAAACCACCCCCTGCGCACCCGCTACGTTGTCGAGAAAATGCCACGCCCTGCGAGCTTGCAACGCATAGCGCCCCCACCCCCAACGCACCCCTTGCGGCGTCGAGAAAATGCCACGCCCGCCACGCCCTGCGAGCCTGCAGCGCATAGCGCCCCCACTCCCAGCGCACGTCCCGTGGCGTCGAGGAAACGCAATGCCGCCACGCCGTGCGAGCCTGCAGCGCACAGCGCCCCCCCCCAGCGCACCTCCTGTGGCGTCGAGGAAATGCCACGCCTGCCACGCCCTGCGAGCTTGCAACGCATAGCGCCCCCACCCCCAGCGCAACCCCTGCGGCGTCGAGAAAATGCCACGCCTGCAACGCCGTGGGCGCGTGCAGCGCATAGCTCCCCCACCCCATACGCGCCCCCTGCTGGTGTCGAAAAAATGCTACGCCTGTCACGCCCTGCGAGCCTGCAGCGCATAGCGCCCCCACCACCAGCGCGCCCCCTGTGGCGTGAAGGAAATGCCACGCCGTGCGAGCCTGCAACGCATAGCAACCCCACCCCTGGTGCACCACCCTTTGTGGCGTCGAAGAAATGCCACCCTTGCCGCGCCCTGCGAGCTTGCAGCGCACAGCGCCCCCAGTCGCAGCGCACCCCGTGTGGCGTCGAGGAAATGCCACGCCTGCCACGCCCTGGGAGCCTGCAGCGCATAGCTCCCCGCGTCGAGGAAATGCCACGCCCTGCGAGCCTGCAGCGCATAGCGCCCTTACCCCCAGCGCACCCCCTGTGGCGTCGAGGAAATGCCACGCCCTGCGAGCCTGCAGCGCATAGTGCCCCCACCCCCAGAGCATCCGTTCTGCGACGTCGAGAATATGCCACGCCTGCGATGCCCTGGGCGACCGTGCGCGTACGTCTTGGGTGGTTGACGCAGTGCGCCTGCCACGCCCTGCGAATCTTGAGCGCATGTGTTTTGCGTGTTTGTGCATGCGTGCGGTTGTATGTAGAACGCGTGTATCACGCACGTGCCGTGCATGTTGCGCGCTGGTGAGGCGAGGAAGAGGAGGAGGGAAAAAGGAGGAGGGGAAGAGGGAGGTGTGTGTGGGAGGAGGAGACGGGGGTGCGACGCGGCTGGGAAGAAAACCGAAACCCCACTAAGCATATGGGGAAACACGTTTGTTTTACGCTGGCGGCTAGGCAAAATAACTGCGCTGGCAGAGGGCTACCTGAACGGGGGTGCCGTTGTAGCGAATCGTGCCACGACTCAGGGCACGGCGCCCCCGCCCTGCTCCTCGCAGCCGTCTGCCGCCTTGGGGGGGGGGGGGGGGCGGCGCTCCAGGCCCGTGCCACGGGGCCCTCTCGGGGGCCGCCCTGGAGGCCTGGGGGCCTCTGGAGAGGGCCGCCCTCGGCTGTCGGGGGCCCGCGCGGCGAGGGGGCAGAGCAGAGGGCACGGCCGCCACCAAGAGAGCACGCACGAGGCCGAAGCGATGCACGGGGACTGGGACCCCCGAGCGATGGCACGAGCAGGATGCGCACGCTGCGGCCGCTCGGCCCCGACGGTCCGGGCGGGCAGGCGTAAGTGGCATGCAATGTTGCCGGGGAGGCGCCAAGCCGCTCAAGCGTCACGAAGTCATCCCATCCGCACATAGCCAGAGCAGACATAAACAGTGCACGCCAAGAACGTGCACCCAGAGCATACACCCAGAACACACGGGGGCAACATACAGCAGTGATACACAACAAGGACAGACAGCAAGAGCAGGCATCAATGGCACACCAACAGCGGACATCCCAAACTGACATCAGTGGCGTACACTCGTGACAAGCGCCCATAACATACACCAATAACATAAATCGGAAGCATACATCAATATCCGGCACTACGAGCAGGAACACATCGTAAACATAAGTGTCAGGCAGACATCATTGACAAATGAACGGCATACGTAAGTAATAGTCTCGAGCGACATATCACAGGGACCGACTCAGAAGATTGAATAGACACCGGGAATTATCATTAAGAACATGCACGTAGTGTACGCCCGCCGTAGGCACCAATAACCGATCCCCCAAAATAGGAACATGTAGAAGACCCGACATCAAGAGCAGACATCAATTACCCTTTTCAATAAGAGACATCAAGGACAGACATTCCGAAAGTAGCTCGAGTTGCCGAAATTAATTGTTGGGGATTGCGGGGTTTGGGCCCTTCGGGGGCGTCCTGTGGAGGCCCCCGAGAGGCCACTTGGAGCCGTCTTGAAGCTGTCTTTGGTCCTCTTGGTAGCACACTGGAGGCCAGTTTGGGATTTGCAATGTTGGGCTACATGAGGCCACACTGGAGCCGGGGCTACCTTCAACGCTCCACCCGTCGCGCATCCCTCTCCTCCAGACCCAGGCGAGGAGACATGGGGACCACCTCCACGGGGAAGACAGGGGTTGGAACGAAGTCGCTCAGCAACCTGCGCCCTGAGAAGCTGCTGGGATGCCAAGAGGCATTGGCGCGCAGGTGGATGACAGGCTGCGGCGATGAGTGACTGCGCGTGCCATGAGCGCGAAAAGGAACGCTTGCGCGGATCGGAAGAGGTTGTTGGATATTCGGAGGGGAGCGCGGTCCACCGTCGGCGTTTGTTTCTAGAGGGGGGGGGCTCAGACACCGGGGGAACACCCCCTCTGAAAAAAAACGGGTGGGAGGGGGTCAGAATCCGGGCGACTCCCCCCCCAAAAAACACCCTTGCCCCAACTCCACCCTGAATCCCCCCCCACCCAGGAACCAGAGTGGCCTCGACAATAGCAGATGCTATCGTTGCAATATCAAGTTGCCTGCGCGATGCACTGTGACACATCCCTTTGCTACAGCATGTCCAGGCAAACCCAGCATCGTCAACGCACACATCCCACCATCGGACCATGCATAATGATATAATTTCATACCAAGACGTCCTTTAATCAATGTCACGAACAGCTTGTACCATTTGTTGTGGTCGTGTTTATTGGTTCGATTGTGTTGTTGATGTTTATGGTATTGTTGTTTGTTTCCTTCCTCGTAATGTTACACCCGTCGCAAGCCTCACTGCAGCGTAGCTCATCGTTCTGCCAAGTGTCGTTGAATTGAGAGGTAATTAATTCGGCATCATGATGTCGCCCATAGAATATTCTCGATAATCGACGGCGTAAGCGCTTTCGACCACGTTTCCAGGGTGGTTCACATGTTCGCGCATGTGTTTCAGAACGAATGGTTGCACGGATCAGTACCGTATGTGAAGTTGTGGTATGATGTGCCATCGCAATACAAATGACGACCATGGGAGAGTGCACACTTTACTATAGGGGGCGGGGGCGAACTGGGCGACGCCCTAATGCCAGCCTTATTATGTTTAGCGTTACACACTGCGCTGGAACGCATAAGGGCTGGATGTCCAGAAGGGGCCGATGTCACCGCGTATCTCGATGATAATTACATCATCTGCGACCCGACCAACGTCGCCCACATCTACGACGCAATACGAAGCATTGTCCTGGAATCTGCCGCATTGACGTCAGCATTGGTGAGTTGGCCGCTTAGGGCAAACCTCGGAACCTTTGTCCTCTGGGCCTCGCCGAACAATCCCGTACAGCGTGGGCGCACGACAAACCAGTTTCGAAATTGGGATTACGAGCTCCAGGGGCACCGTTCGGTGCAGAAGCGTATGTCGAAAATTCTGGAAGCACGCACGCCACGGAGAAAGCGAAGCTCCTTAATTTATGACCGAAGTTTCTTTTATTGCAAATGGCGTGGCTCTTATTTCACTTCTGCGGCGTACCACGGCTCAACTGTTTATTGCGGACAACGCCGCCAAGCCAATCGCATGTTGCAGCGCAGACGCACGACGCCAACGTAATGAAAATGATCTTTGATTTTTTCTGTACCCCATCGCCGCAAGGACGCCCCTCAGCTTAAAAGACAAAGAAATCGTCCAACGGGCGAGGGGCCTCAAGCTTCAGAATTGAAATACCCCACCATTATTCAAGCAGCATGTGGCCTACGGAGTTTCCACCATCTGTGCAAAAGGCCCATTGTAGCTGTCACGGCAGTAATTGGTAAGCTGGACAATTTCGAGTCTTTGGAGGCCGCATCCGCATACATACAGACCGACCTCAATAAGATTTCCGAGCCGATACCCGCAAATGTTTATTCAAAAGGCGAGCTCAAGAACCTCATCTTCACGGAATATGGGACGACGCTCGACAAAGAGACGGCAGTCGCAGAATTACACAGCGCAAAATTACAACGAGGAGCCAATACAATATGGTACACGCCAGATCGGGAACCCGCAGAAAGGGCAGAACGATACATCTTGAAGCAAAACATGCAGAACGAGTACAATATCCAAATATCCGATACAATATCAAGTACGTGTAGGTGGGCATTTTGCTCTTACAATAAAAGTCGATGGCGCCACCACCGAGCGCATTTGGGAAAAAGAGGGGAAACATTTGACAGAATCGCACAAGAATGCTGCTTAGGTTGCGGGCTCGCCGCGTCAACGCTCCGTTTCTTTCCAATCAGGTTTCCGGACGGCGTACTTTGGTCAAATAATAAAAAAATGCGGAATAAGTGTGACACGATATTGCGAAAATCTTCCGTGGGTATGAAACGCAGCGCCAAAAATACACCCAATGCGGTGGGCATAGGACGCCAGGAAGCCAATGCCATGATGCCGAATTTTCACAATCAGCCGAGACATACTTTTCCAAAATTGCGAGTTGGATTTACGGAGCCGCATGTGGACAACGACTCGGAGAAAGATGCCGACTTAACGTGTATTGCCGGAGACAATCCATACTTACGCTTCTACACATGCTACAGCCGGAAGCGCCATGTCCATGCCTGGTGCGTTGGGGATTGGCGATGCCAGGCGAGTAGACCGGGCGACCCGTATCTTCCAAAACAGACTCCACAGCCACCAGAGTAACGCGTGTGAATGGCAATTTTGGATATAAGATTTTTTGAATTGAAAAAGTAAGTCAGTCAAGGGTGACTTTCGTTTTTTGTTGTTTTTCCAGGCCATGACTGTTTACCCCGAGAAAATCCATCGCATGAGAAAGAAAAATGTTTCTACGCGAAGAGGCAAACATATGCATTTCCGGTAATGGTTTCCATTGCCCACCCGCATATTTAGCAAGACTGTTGGCGACCCCTGACGCGCAACGCTTTGCTTCCGTAGTTTGCTTCGCAAGCCCTTCAATTTGTTAAGGGGCTTGGTTTCCACACGCAGTGTTCCACAAAATTCATTCCTTACCAAAAAAAAAAAGGTCACGAATCGTTTGCCCCTGAACGTTATACTACATGTTCGCTTAAAGAAACGTCCAACGATATCGGCGTCCAAACTTACAACAACAAGATTTTCATCAACATTCGAAATACATTTCAAAAACGAAGCGCCCGCGACACAATGACCAATTTGAGGAAAATTCTCTGTGAAATGCTCCGCGCCAAATTTGCTACCCTCATCAAACACAACGGCTGTATTTTTGATCCGTCTGGGAACCCTCTCAAAACAGTGGAGCAGACAATTTACCTCGGAAGTTGAACCACTGTAGACGCGTCCGCAAAGCAGAGCTTACCAGACGGATTGGGGAAGCGAAAGGCATTTTCAAAGTGATGCAAAGGTGGTGGTCGCATGCAAAGTGCGACTGTATTGCCAAAGCTTCTGTGCAGTCTCGAATCTATATGGTTGTTGCAAGCCGACAACCGTCATTTGGACGGTTTCCACGCGCGCTGCCTGAAGAAAATCATGTCCATCCCATCTTCGTTCATCTCGAGAGTTTCCAACGCGGAAATCTTGGGAAAAGCATCTTTTCCCGCTTTGGGTTCAAGATTGGCTCAAGAATCTCGGCCCCCAGGCTCCACAACCTACTTTCCTTTTCCCCTTACCTGCTACATCTACCCATCCTATTCTCATTCACTTCCTACACATATCATTCGATATTTTTCCCTTCTTGTTCGCGACCACGCGTGTGACGGACGATCAGCAGACAGATGGAATGGCTGGGGGTGATGGCCACTGGGGCGTTCGCTGCGGTGGATTGGGGTTCCGTCCGCTCGTCATTGTGGGGATGGGGCTCCTCCGTAGTGCAGGGGACGGGCGGCTGGATCAGTTACGCATCCACAGCGACGACGGTGTACCTTGCAGGGCTTCCGCGCGAATGCCATCTGGCAGCCATACACGCTGCTGCGGTGTGCAACGGCGAGAACCCACAGTACTCCACAACGCCGGGGTTCGCGCATATCTCAATATCGTGGGGATGGTTGGTGGTCGGTTTGATGACGGGGGTACTACTGACAATCGGGATCAGGGCATGCCTGGGGCATTCCAGATGGCCAAAGTATGGAATGCATCCGTACCCTTTGGATCACATACGGTACCCCCCGGGCCTGGCCCCCATGCCGCCGGCCCTCCAGCCGCAGGTGAATCAGGAAGATGCCGCGAAGCTCGAAGTCATTCATCACATCGAGCGGCGGGGGGCGCCAGCGCTAACCGACATGGCCCAGAAAGCGGGGGTATCGGAGCACGAATTCCTCCGCAGGCTTGTTGGTCTAGTACCGGGTTCCAGCTGGGTTTCCCGGAGAAGGGCAGAGGCTGGGGAGGGGATTTGCTCTTTACTAGCTTGGTGGTGGGCCCAGTGCCCGGCATGCGCCACCCACACCAACACCACCGTTTGTGGTTCCGCCGGGGGCGTCAATGATTGCATCAGTATTTTAATTCACGGCCATGCTGTCAACAATTCCGGCAGCAGCTCTGCCAGAGGTTCCCGCGGCAGCCCCGAGGGCTCCGACGGCGGCGCCCACGGCATCTCCGACTGCGGCTCCGACGGCGGCGCCCACGGCAGCTTCAGCATATCCGACAGCGGCTCCGACGGTGGTTGCGACAGCGGCTGCGAAGGCAGCCCCAAGGGCTCCGACGCTTGCCCCCAAAGCATCCCCCATCATTGTTTTCACGGCGGCAGGCCCGGCAGCCGGTCCACGAACGGCTCCGACGGCGGCGCCCACCGGCTACGACAACACCGACTACGACAACACACAGCCGCAGCATTACCGATTACGGCAACAACCACTACGCCTACGGCAACACCGTTTGCGACTTCAACAATACCGATGACCGCATCGATAATAACACCGACTTCGACCACACCGCCTACGACATCAACGCTTACGGCAGCTCCGACGGGTTGTCCGTGGCACGCCAAGCTTAACAGACGTCGTCGCGATCCTTATCTTGAAAATACCAACGTCAATTCGCATGCGAAGAAAGGTGACAAGAAGGACGGGCCTGACAAGGCAGATCAGGAGGCCACGATGAATGTCTGGGGGTCATTGGGGGCAATTCCTGAATCATTTGAACAATATTGGAAACAATACTATATAATATTTCAGGATTTTTACCCCCCCCCCCCCCCCCCCCCCCCCGCAGCGCAGCCCACACACATACACCTCCAAGTGCCTTTCGCTAAACGCAAATGGGGTGAAACACGACGGAACCTGCACAGCCCCGGCGCGCGGCTAAGCAGGGAAAAG